AAACCCCAAAACCCCAAAACCCCAAAACCCCAAAACCCCAAAACCCCATCAATTGAAATTTAAGTTTTATAGTATGGAAAAAAGATTATTTATTGCGTTACATTATGCTCATTTAATTGAGCTAATGTGCGCAAATTCTGACCGGACTCTTTATAGTAAGATTTGGTCTTAAGTCAGAGCAATAATTACAAGGATCATAAGGTATCGAAAAATGCTATTTCACAAATTTATACTCATTATAGGTTTTAATTTTCTGGAGTAGAGGTAGTTTCTTATTATAGAAGTACATTCTATCTGCTATTTTAGGGATAGAATGGTTTTATTTGATCTTGAAGTCGCTAGAACGAAGCTCTAGACATCATATCCTCAAGATAAATAAATAGCCCCTCTTTCATTTCAATGATCTTAAACTCACCAAGTTTATAAATGAGCTCTACTATGGTTTACAAGAAGGGATAATCATATTCTCTTAATTTAATTTCAAGCTGACCACCTGGTGTATTAATTGATATTTCACAAAGTATAACACCTTGTCCCTGAAGATCGATGATTTTGGGTTTTCTAAGTTGTGGAGAGGCTGTTTCTTCAGCAGACATGAGGCTACTGTCACCACCAGTAGTAGTTTACTCGTCATTGTAATCTAAGATGTAGCTGCTACTGCCTTGCTTTAAATGATCAGTTGGAGCATTTTTGATAGTAACAACTCTATTGCCACTAATGTTTCTCTCTTTTTCTTAACAGAATTGAATAAGCTGTTAAGTACTGGTATATTCATCATCCTGAGCCTCTTGCTGTTGAATATCGAAATCAGTTTCAGCGACAACTGATAGCGTGCATTCGCTATCATGTCTTTCATTGTTGGAGCATGAATCAATATCATCATGTTTTGATGGCAAATCTTGCAGACTTTGATTCTAAGATTCTTGAGTATGTGAATCTGAGATATGCTGCTAATAGTCTTTATCCTATCTTTCATCAACATTGTGTGAATCTATATTCAACTACTCTTATTTTGAATAAGAAAAGATCTTTCTGTCCTCTTTTGAATCTTGAGTTCTTTGTCTCTCTGTTGCTTAGTCATGATTATCATCTAATCCAGGCTCATTTAGTTATCTACTCTTATTATCTGCATGATAATTGCCTCCATAGTGATGGTGTTAATGTCTATACTCAATTTGAATTTGAATTAAAGAATTTTACTTGAAGTGTTTCTCGTTGAAAGGCTTGTCTTTGAAAGTTTTCTATTCATGACCTATCTTGTTGTTATAACCTGAGTTCCTTCTTTGCTTATACCCAGTTTCTTGCCATTCATTTGCCTGAGGGTTTTAACTTATTAAATTCTTACATGATTGTCATTGTGATAATGATGATCTTAGTGATAATTTGGATGATGATCATATTCCTCCCCATAGTATTAACTCTTATAATTTTGTCTATTAATATTTATCATACAAATTGCTATGTACTTGCGATATGGATGACTAGCCCCGTAACCTTAGCTCTCATGGTTCTCATAATAGCCATTATCTTTCTGATAATGATGATTTTAATACTGTTAATATCCATCACGGAATCCTCTTCCCCTATCAACATTAATTCTTTAATTTACCTATAATTTTATGATGCCTTGTAGGGCTGCGAAGATTGATTATAACCACCATAATACTCCTGAGAATTACCACCATAATCCTGTCTCTAATCCTTATGGAAATGATAGTGTTTGTTCTTGTAATTATATTAAGTCTCTGAATTCATATTTATAATAGTAATTCGCTAATAAAATTAGGTTCATACCAAAGAAACTCTTAGAATATTCGGAGAGCTTACTACCAATACTTTTATTTATATTTCTTAATTTCTAAACTTTTATTAATTTCTTCCGACCGGGGTTTTGGGGTTTTGGGGTTTTGGGG